TTGTCAGCTAGAAATGAGGGTTACAAGTCAGCACTTCCTGTGACTGGGGGGTATCCCGGAGCTCTTCCATAAGCTCCTCCTCTGGATTCCTCATATGTGATGGATGTCGGAGGAAGCCGCACGATGAAGCCGCACGATGTGTGATGACAAAACACTATTCCAGGAAATGTGGGGAGCAGCATTTTGGGGGTTCCACAGTCAGCAGTATGGGGGGCGGCAGAGACGAGGAGGACTCGGGGTCTGGTGATGGGATTTGTAGTTTGTGGGAACATGTTGACTTTCTTCTGGTTTTCTTCTCAGGAAGATCCTCTGCAGAGAGAAGGTCACATGCGTTGGGGGGAAGGGTTTCTCCTGGTCTATGACATCACAGACAGAGGAAGCTTTGATGATGTCATGTCCTTCAAGAACTCGTTAGACGAAGTCAAGAAACCCAAAAACGTCACTTTTATTCTGGTGGGAAATAAAGCGGATTTGACGCATTCCCGCCGGGTCAGCACCGCGGAGGGGGAGAGCCTGGCCGCCGACCTGTCCTGCGCCTTTTACGAATGCTCGGCGTGTACCGGCGAAGGAAACATCACCGAGGCGTTTCACGAACTGTGCCGAGAGATCCGGCGACGCAAAATGGTTCAAGGGAAGACGCGGAGAAGGAGCTCCACCACCCACGTCAAGCAAGCCATCAATAAAATGCTGACCAAGATGAGCAGCTGAGCGGCGGAGGGGGCGGGGCATGGGGCTTTTTTTCATTCATTGTAAATACAAAATGTAAAACTTTATTATCTCCGGAAGCTTCTCTCCCGATATCGGCCGATACGTCTCCGTAATCAATAAAATATTTTACACGGAACGTTATACGAAAGTTTATTCTGCAAATGGTTTGTGAACCAGATTTATAATAAAGAAATAAATGGGAGTACTCCCATCAGTGTGACCTCCGAGAGTGGCGATGGAGCCGCTGCGCATCCAGGCTCCGTATATGAGCCCCAAGTCGACTGACGGCTCCGGAATGGAGGAGATCAGGAATATAGGATGGACGTCACCCATCAGGTGCTGGTCGGGGCCATTGTGGGGGAGGGTAGAGATATGGAGGTGCAGGTTCCAGAGCCGGGTATCTGGGGGTCACAGGGTGGGGGTGAAGGTAAAAGCATTAGAGAGCCCAATGCGGAGCAGTTACACCCCAATAAATGTATCCGGTTCACCAATGTTGGAGATATCAGGTCTGGAGTGTGATTGCTGGAGGTCTCCTCTAGGTGCCAGGGGAGTGACGGCTCCGGTCTGGAGCAGAGGGGCGGCGGGGAGCAGAGGGGCGGCGGGGAGTGACGGCTCCGGTCTGGAGCAGAGGGGCGGCGGTGAGCAGAGGGGCGGCGGTGAGCAGAGGGGCGGCGG